GTCTAAAAATGTGGATTTTGTCTTTCTACCAGATTTCTTTCTAGTTTAAAATTAACAAATTTCAATTTCACATCTACTGATATTTCCCATCTTGTCGTAGACTACTGTCATCGAATCTCATAAATATATTTAATGAAATCTAATCTACACTTCTAGAGAACCGCGCGGCAAAATGTTTATTAGTTGATTTCATTGTTATATGGCTTCGCGGGGAAGAAGACAGACAGGATATAATTGCCAATATGTGAAAACGACAAGGCTGCTAGTAAGTTCCGTTCGCTTGAGAATTTTAGTCACTACCTCGTTTTCGACGCATTCAAACTGTCCAATCAGCTTAGTCTGATTCCCTGTACAAGAATCATGATCTAAAGCTAAGCTGGGGGATACGTGTATGTATATTCAGAGTGGTCTTAAGGGACGATCGGGCCATGGCCTTATTTGAAAGAACCTGTGAGACGAGAATTTTAGAATGTTAACATGTTAAGATGTCATCGTGTTAAGTTTAAGAATATTGTCATGTAAATTTTGTGTATTTGATATTATTCGTATTCTAGTGTTATGTACAAAATGAGTGGTTTTGCATTTAATATATATATATCATATACAAATACATACATCATGTGTCATAAACAAATACAAAACAATAAAAAATACACCGACCACTGGGAATAGAAGAAAATGGTATTCATGCTTTAACCGGCTAACCAAGACAAATTTCATATTCATAAATAAATATGTTCGATTGTTTTTTATTTATATTATTACAAACTGAATTTGGGGCATGATACTATCAAACAAGTACGGCAACGAATTGAGAATATATATTTTCGAAGAACAATTCGACTACCAAATTATATTCAATTATACTATCAATATGGGTCATCTCAACCTTTAGACTATTAATAGAAATGTGTTTTGTTTTTAATTTATTTTTTTATTCACAACACACGCAATGACGATGCTGATCCACCCGTCTCCAGTGATACTGTGAACTGAAAAAAACTCTTAATACACTTTGTTAAAAATATAGACCATGGCACAATTTAATAAGATTATATGGATGTGCTTTTATCAGGGCATTTGACGACAAAATTACCAAATTGAAACTTTTGCTTTTATTATTAAAATTCGTGCCACCCCTTTTCGAATATCCTCTGTCCGCCCCAATTATTTGTACCTGTACAAGAAAATGAGTGATTGTATCTTGTTTGCTCGCCGACACGACTATTTCAGGTGACAGGACAAGGTAATGTACTTACGTTTTAAGTGGGTTATTGTGTGCATCGTACGCATGCGGTTCTTTCCAGTGTGCTATAGCGTATCTTGCCATCGGCTTAGCCGTGACCATTTGATTGACAGGACAATTGTTTATCGCAGGTGGCGTTGTCTCTGAAAACGAAAAAGACTGTTTGTGATAAAGATGATATACTCTAAAATGTTCGATTAGTGGAATAGTAGATTAGCGTTCACTATTTGATAAAGTGTCGCTTGGATTCATCTCGTCTGTTAGTCACCACATGTCGGATTTAAAGCAAACAGAATTGACTTTTTTGATTATGTACCAATAATGCATGGCTTTGCTATTCAAAATCTATAACTATATATAAGATACAATCATTTGATTTATCGTAGATTTTCTCGTAATGTATAATTCAAATCATTGGCTCCTCAATCTCACATGGCATCGATTTTCTCTAAGGCTCTTCAAGACAAAGTCCGTATTAAAATGTATAATTCAATACTAGTTGAGCTGTATAATCCAACCTTTTCACAGCCAACGGCATATGTAAATGGATTATAATAATCTATTGCACATATACAGTGAGTAAACTGAATTGAGCGTGAACAAATCTTAATACGTATATTGTATAATGTTTACAAACGGTGGAAATACACGTTACTGTAAAGCTGATGGTGTTTAACGTAACGTTTTCGTACACAACGTCATTTTCAGATTGATATTTCACTAAGGAAAACACAACAACGTGTAAGCGATTCTACTTGACATGCGGTCTAAATGTTCGTCTTTTCCAATTCAGTACACGACACAATGTGTTATTATTAAAAAAGCAAACTGTCAATCATGAGGATACTTTTAAATACATTAAGTCGTTTATATTACAGCTGCTGATATTTTAGGCCAGGTTAACGCTAATAGAAGGAGTCAATTGCGGCAATGCATAAATAAGATCGCTACAGCTGATACACAGATCTCAAAGGTCACGCACGGGGCTTCCGCGTTTCGTTTAAACAAATTACTTTAGTTAGTCGATGCTCTCCCGGGTCACGTCGTTAGTGCTGTGGAGTAATTAGGTGTATTAATAATGTATACTGCAATGTCTGTGGGTGTAGCACTATACACATCGAAAGCTGGCTTTGTATTGATTGTAATCTCCTCATCGTACCGTGCAGTGAATGCTGTCCAGCAATAGATGGTGCATACCTAATACATGCCCGAAGAAGATATTTACAGTGGCTTTTAGAATAACGTCCGTATTGTAGTTAATGGCACAGCTTGCTACTAGCCTATTGCTTTTCTGGAAAGTATGACAAAGAGCGTAGGTTTTTGACAAGCCTATTTATTTTGTTAAGAGTATTATTAGGATTGCAAAAAGTCTAATAATGTCAATAAGAAACACTTAGTAATGATAATTCTTACTGTGTCTTGTACTACATTTAGCTAACATTAAAGCAGGAAGTTGTCATCAGTGCGCATGCGGTAGATGGCCATAGTGGGTCGTTGTTTACAAACAAGCGTCTACCCATGAGTCTTTGCGTTCTGCGCGTGCGCTGGTGACAGCTACTGCTCTTTAATTGTCAAACCCGTATAAA